CCACCCCCCTCCCCTATAAGGGGCAGTGGGTCTATCCACCTCCCCCTCAAGGGGCAGTGGGTCTATCCACCCCCTCCCCCATAAGGGGCAGTGGGTCTATTCACCCCTCCTTTTCCCTGACGGGGCCCTGGCACCAGCACGAGGGCGGCACGGATTTAAAAACAAAGGAGCAGCGCTAAGTCTTTTCAAATGATTTTTACACACACATACCGGGACATTTCTATTATTGTATCTGCTAATGTGATGTCGCTGTTTATTTTGTTGCAATTATTGACGTTTTCCAGTGGATCTTATTTGTTCCGTGTGATGATGTAATAACCCCCAGGATGAGGCTGACGCACGCTGCTACATATACACTGCTAAAGGCATTTCGTTAAGAAACTAGACACAGACGCTATTTTTGGTGTTTGATTAGACTTTTAACTTTACCGTAAGAAAGAGAGAGAGAAAAAAAAATTGTTGATAAATCTTGGTTTTTCTTTTAATGACGATATTAGTGGAAATACCTACGTCTGTATGTCTATGTATAAAGACTAAATTAATGGCCGGTTTCCACGTCTTGAAACGTATTGGACATGTTGTACCCGCTACACATCTGTATAGACGAATCAGTAATGGATCTGTTGCACACTAAGTTTTACTGTGACCGCCTTTACTTCCATAACATTTCCAGGTGCTCAGCTTAGGAAGAGTCTGCCTTAGGGACCCCTGTCAGTTAAAAACAATTCGCCCTAGTGGGGGAATGGAACCTGTGAGCATCTAAGCTGCCGACAGACATACTCTAGCACTGCGCTATCGCAGCTCCATCTACAGGCGTATTTAAAGAAAACGCTCACGAATTAAGAGGTGCAGGGACGTGACACAGTGGTCAACCATGCGTGTCCAAATAGGCGACTCAGGAAGGTTGGTGTGAGACTACCTTTCCTCTTCTTCTTAAAGTCCATGCCATGTGGCGTTGGTAGCCATGTCTATCCACAACCGTCTCTCTCGTGTACTTTCAGTCAATTCTGACACAGACGATCCTTTATGCAATGGTGCTAAACTGCCCAGCATTCTCTCTCTCGGTCTCCCTTTGCCCCTCTTTTCTTCAAACCTTCCCATTGTCACGATGCACTCCAGTTTTCCCCTTCTCATGCCATAAACACGTAATGTAGATTCTCCCATACTGGTGTGGACAGTCAGTTGTTTTCATGAGTCAGTTTCTCTTGAGACATCTGCATTACTCTTTTTATCTCTCCATAAAACTCTCATCACTCCTCTATAAAACCACATCTCCGTAGCTTCCAACTAATGTTTAACTAATCAACCAACTATCCATGATTCACTTCCATATATCAGGATATAAGATAGGGGGGCTGCGTAGTCTCATTGCATGGTGTCTGACTCGAGTGCTAGAAGTCCCAGGTTCACGTCCCGGTAGGGGCTGGGATTTTTTTCACGTGAACTTCTAGTAATTTTACCTAGTCTCTTGGTAGTAAAACCAGACGTCCGTGTGTATTGTTGCGCAAGTAAAAAATCCCTTGGCAGTTGGAAATTGAAAAGAGTAGGCTAACGGCGCTGCCCGAGCAAAATTTAGAGTTACAAATCTACCCAAAGTATTTCAGGACCTGTCGCGCGCCCACGTGGGTAAATACACTGATATAGTGAGGGTGTGGGTTTGAACCTTAACAATGCCCACCCACGTGAGAAACTGGACTAATATCTAAGCTATGTTGATCCTAGACAGTCCTGGATAGCCAAGAAAACAGCGAGTGGCTCGTTCCATGAAATAAAAGTAGCTGTACTTGTATCCACAGGAGAAGGAGAAGGGATAGATAGATATCAGGATAAACCCACTGTGATATAATCCAGATACACAGTTAACCCCTCAGACTTTTCTCCTCTCCTGGCATTACTTAAAAGCCCCCATTAAGTGATTTAAATATTTGTTAGCTGAAGTAAACTAATATGCACAAAGACACTTGAACCTAAGTACACAATTTACTCAACTATTTTGTAACAACATCAAACATGATTTTTTTTTGAATTCGAAATTAAAATGAACTTGTTTAGGCTAGTAGAGTTGAGGTGATGTTGATAATGAAATTATATATTGGAAAGTAACAACATTTGGACAGTTCTCGGCTTGAGACCCTGCCTATTCTTTTCCAGTGTGTCGTCCTCACTGCTTTCAAGCAGGTCGTTACACTCAGACTGTCGGCAAAGAATGGATGCCTACTAGTCCCTGCCCAATGTGGATACTGTGATAAAGAAACAAGCGCATATCTGTAGTATCTGCTCTAGGTGTACACTAAGCATGTATATTATAATAACATCAAGCATGTTTATTTAAATAAAACATTTCATCTCTCCCTCATGTTCACATTCACTCCTGTCCAATTTGGAAGGGCTTATGTCTCACATTCCAGCCGTTACATCTTCTGCCTTCCTCTATACAAGTCCTGTAATTATAGTCAAGTCTTCTACGTCAGATGCCATCTCGCGTACAGACTCAAATGACACTCAGACAGAACCAGTTCTGGAATCTACGCTTGAAACAATGCACGCGCCCAGAATGCTAACAATTGTTCTGGGGCGAATCAGATAAGAAATCTCTCCGCATTAGCCTCTCGGGAGTTAAACACATTTCAGTTTGTTAGCTGTATGTAATACAGATTCACATTAACCACACGTGAAAAGATTGCCAAAGTTATCTTCAGGCTTGTGATTTCAAGAACATGATAGTTCATTAAATTTCCATGGTAACATCAACATTAAAGTTTTACAACATTGAAACACATGTGCACGAAAAACATTCATGACGCTATCAAAGAGGATATAAAGCAATGTGACAGTGCCCTAAGAGAATGAAGAAATGTCCGCCTAGGAGTACTACAAAGTGATGAAGACACACACTTGAGTAAAAAGACAGTTAGATCTCTTCATAAATAAAATAAAGGTTTTGAAACTAATTTCGTTCTTACCTGGAAAATGAAACTACAATGCCAAAAGTTCTGTCTCAAGCTTGGGTTTAAGCCCAACAGATGGCATGCTCTGGACACAGTCTCATTTACCAGACCTAGAGTTCACCCCTTTATAACTTTTTCTAAGCTCCTCCTACATTACCCCTAAAATCATTCTCATTCAAGGATGTCACAGCTCCTCCCCGTGGGTGTCTATTCGCTGTCAGTCAGGGCTGTACAATACTTGTTTGAATTCCCACGGTCACATTCTTCAGGTTCAATTAAGCTGGTCAAAGCTAATAGGCCAAGTCACACCTCCAGTCTACTTCACCTGTCAAGTTGTTTGCTAACCACTCCACTCGACCATGTCAATAGTGACCGTCTGACTTGCCTTCAAGTTAGGTAACCTCAGGGGGAGATAAACACAATTAGCCTGTATTATCTGCTCCTAAATGTCTGGCTAGGAGATAAATATCTGACACCAACAGATGGTGTGCAAATCTGCAGACAGTAAGTCTTAGCTTGGTCAGTCTTATCTCTGTACCTTAACACTTAACGTCTGGGAAAAGTTTTAGTGTTTGATATCACCAACAGTCCAGGAGAATTAAATGTTTGTTCTGGTCGCCTTACTTAGATTAAGGATGTAGCCAAAACCATAATATTTCTGTATACTTTAAAATACATAGAAATAAAAGTCCGCTGAGGAAAGACATTCTGAAGTCACCGAGCGTATTGTCACAGGATCCTCGCCGGTGAGACAGAGTTCGTGCACTGCGCTGAGGTTCTTTAGACTCGGGCTTGAGTTCGAAGAAAAACGGAGCCCTTGTGCCATAACTTATTTAGTTTTTAAGAATTCCATGTCTTGTTTAAACTGACAAAGAAAGATTGCATATTCTTAATTTTGTTAAATGTTGCCTTCACTTGAGCTTATGTAAATTTATTATCTTTACTACATCTTCAGTCTCATGTTTTCAGTGTACCCAAGTACTTAAACATGCTTACTGGTTGTCCCATTTACTTTGATGCTTCATTTCGGAAAGTCCAGTTTCTTTGTAATTACCATTACTCCAGTCTTTATGCTGTTTCTTATCCCCGTAAAACTATACCTGCAAAATTCAACTTGTTATTGAAAAACAGTATGAGCTGGGTAGAAAATATGCATAGCAATAGAGAACAAAGGCATTAAACAGGCATCTGAGTTTAAATATCTGGGAACTACATTTACCGAAGATGGGAAATTGGATAAAGAAATTAACATTAGATGCAGTAAAGCAAACCAAGTATTGGGACAGCTAGCCCCCCTCTTACAGCATAAGACAATCCCAATCAGCACGAAGTGACATCTTATTCAAAGCATATTTATTCCAACTCTGCGCTACCAGTGCCAAACATGGTCACTCACAACAAACCATAAAAGAAAATTAGTAACCACGGAAATGAGATGTCTGAGAAGGGCTGTAGGAGTGACCATAAGAGATAAGATCAGGAATGAGATCATAAGAGAAAATGTCGGCACAGAACCAATTCTAAATTACATACAAAGACAGCAAGTGAAATGGTTTGCCCACTTAGAGAGAATGCCTTGTGATACCATACCATACAAAGCATACATGGAAAGAGAAGAAGGTCGTAGAGCAAGAGGTAGACCAAGAACAAGATAGAAGGATAACATCAGAGAAGCTCTACAACAGCTTGATGTGCCTATGGTCGAAGCGGCCAGAAGAGCCAGAAACAGAACCTTATATCTCCCTCGACACCCACAGCGGTAAAAGAGGAAGTGAAGAAAAAGAAGAAGAAGAAGAAAAACATATGCCTCTATGGGAATTGAAAGACAGCAAAAGAAGTTTCTGACATGCAGATTTATTAACTAGTAAAAAATTATCAGGGAGAAGAAATATGATATGGAATATAATAGTACTTTTGTCTATTTCAGAACGATTGGACATATGAGCGTATCTGGATTCAGCCCTTGTATGATTGGATATAATGAGCACAGCTGCAGGGAGTTGACTTCTACACAAGCACTTGTCCGGCAGGCGGCATCAGATGCTGCGCGTGATGAAACGGTTCAGTGCCCCAGCCTCTGTGTACCCCGACCCCACGAGGCCACCAGACGATGATGACAGCGACGCTAGCCTCAGCGATGGTAGTAAGAAGGTCAAAACCGCTCAGTCGTTTGAATCTCTGTTCAATAGTGAGTCCCTTAGCGATATCGTTCTGGACATTAACCAAGGAGAGTTCGTCTTCCACGCCCACAAAATGATTGTGGGATTGAAGAGTGAACGCCTGGCAGCTCTGATTACAAGTGTTGCCTCGGTATCCCTTGACAACAGCAGCAAGCCGGTACTCTACCTTCTGGAAACGCCAGAGTGCAGCGCCATATTTAGTCGCTTCCTGTATTTTATCTATAGTGGCGCTGTTTGGCTTCATCGGGACTACGTCGTCCCACTTTTCAAACTGGCCGTGAAATATGGCGTAGGGGCGCTAGCCACCCATTGTGAAAATTACATCATACAGTTATTGAATAAGTGTTTGAATGTTGATACTAACTGTGCCAACCCTCCGCCAACCATGCACGTGACAACCGTGTGTGATTTGTATGAAGATGCGGAATACAGAGATGAGACGCGGAAGTCCGCGTTTTGTGTGCTGGGTCGCAGATTCGCAGACCTTATACGTACGGATAGATGGATATTTTGTATGTGGACAACCGTGCGGGACCTACTGAGGTCTGACGAGTGTGCTTGCGAAGAAAACTTAATTTTAGTGGCCGCTACAGACTGGATGAAACGAAATAAACTGCAAGATAAAGCCCGCATTCAGGAGATACTAGCTTCGATTCGCTACCCGCGGTTGCCACGTCGGGTGTTGTACCACCTTCACACGACTGCAAGCTTCAAAAATTTCCCGCAGGTCCAGGACCTTATAGAGGCTGCTATTCGCTACCACTGTTTTAAAGACGTTCCCGAGGCTCAGAATGAATTTTCTGGTCTTCAGTACAGAGTCAGATGGCGGAGCAGAACAAGACACACCGTATGTGGAGGAGAGACAATTTCCCATTCGGAAAACCACGACAACCCTGCTCAAAATCACTGGCATTTTGATGACTGCGATGATTCTACTCTACCCGTTGTCGCAGACACTCACGAAGCTGTTGATCACTGTGATAGCAATAACCTTGACCTCATGACGAATTCCAGGTCAGCGGAGATCAACCACAACCACCACCACCACCAGCACCACCACCCTCTGTGTCGGAGCCAGTTTTCTCAAACCACGAGATATTCCCACCGCCATGGTCCCCGAACGTGGGGCAACCATGGTTCTATTCCAGACTCTGTGGTGTCAACATTTCACCCTGTGGTGTCGCCAGTAGTCGCGGTACAGCCCCACGTCCACACAGATACCACAAGCTCTTCGCCGGATATATCCTTGCAAATCAACATCCATAACCACAACCAAGTTTGACGATAGTCTTCTTTAGCATTTTACTTACGATACTACAGTCTGCACGATACTACAGTTTGCACGATACAACAGTTGGCACGATACCAGAGTCTACACGATAGCAGTCTACATCTAGCCATGTCTGCATCTGCAAGTTTCTACAGATAAATATTTTAGGATTATTCAAAACAATGTTTTCCCGTCGTAAATTTAAATATTACCGACACAAATAGTACATTGAACAATTTATTGCCTGGCATTTTTCGCTGTGGGGGTCACCGTGGCGTTGGCGACTAGACGCCCGCCCTGCGGATCGGGAGGTCGCGTCCTGGCGGAGTCGGACTTTTACTTTCAAAAATGTCCGTGATTCCCAGGTCGACCAAGCCTTGAGTGGGTACCAGGTACAATCCTGTGAAGTAATAGCTGTCGGCGTGATGCTGACCACATCACCCACAAAGTGCCGTTTAAAAATATAGGTCTATATTCTCCTATATCCTCCTATATCCACCTCCCCCCCCCCCTATATTCCTAATACCCCTAAAGGTGTGGAAAAGGAACCTTTTTATGTTTCGCTGCATCTGGGCAGGTGCATTATTACAGCGTTAAATTAACTTACAATGAGACACAAAATGAATTCCTTTCTTGCTGAAGTGCATAAATCACATTGTCATGTTGCTAACATTTGTCCGCCGAAAATTGAAAATCAGTCACGAGATTACCATAGTAACTTCAAATTGATCACAAGTTACCAGCGAAATATGCCAGGCAATATGAGTTTGATGAACATTTAACAGCTACTTCACATGTTACCCTGAGAGAATAATGAACATATTTCGTTTATATTGTTCATGTACGTATGTAATTTATACTATGTGTAATCTAGTGTGTCTAAAGCTGCTTCTTCCCAGTGATGTCATATGTCTGAAAATGCTACAGTAGCATAATCCTGCTGTGAGATTACTGTAGCCAACCTTTATTGTGGCGACGGCACACAATGTTTTTAGCGCCCCACTGTCATCTTTTATCTGCCTACACATTTCCGGCAGTCATTATTATGTGTCTACACTCTTGAGACTGTCATTATTTATCTGTCTACACATTTCCGGCAGTCATTATTATGTGTTTACACTCTTAAGACTATCATTATTTATCTGTCTACACTTTTCCAACTGTCATTATATATGTCTGCATTTTTTTCCGGTCTTCATTTATCACTATGTACACGGCAGTATATGAGAGCATGCGTCTTCCCTGTAGCAACATACTGATGTTAGTGGTGGACTATCTCCCAGTCCTTAAGAAAGAGAATAGGGGCTTTTGAGCTGAAATGCTATAGAAAGAATATCTTAGACAAGGAAGAGGAGAAATACTGACATCTTGAAAGATCTGAACATCAAGGCTAATAAACAGCATCCTGTCTCAGAAACTGAAATATTTTGGTCAGATCAAGCGCAACGACGGATTGAAAAGAAGGCATGGTACCAGGGAGGAGGGGCTTGTCCCGACCAACACGATGTTGGGCACAGGATATAAGTGACTCCTTGAGTATGAAAGTGCATGAGGCTGGAGAGCTGGCGAGAGACCGGGTTTCTTTCAGGCAGACCGTGATGACAGCGACGTTCTGCAAAGGACTGGCTACACGATAATAATGATGATGATGACAGGGTGGTAACTTTCATCACTCACATATCCACAGTGTCATTGACTCCCGACCACTTTACAGTTAGTTCATCTTGTAAACGGAAGCAATGCAAGGGAAGTAATCATGATCAGTCTTACTGACAATGATGAATCAACTGTCTTGTTGACCGCTGGCCTAATCAATACAAGGCACGTTGGCGTTAGTAGTAAGCCGCGACAATAAACCTTCAGTTCCATTTAGTTCTAAGGTGAAAAAAAAAAAAAAAAGCAAAAGACAATGTTGGAAATAAAAGGGGGAAGAAAGAAAGAAGAAAAGCGACGAGGAGATTATTAATAACAATGTTAATTGTTGAATGTTGAATTAGGAATCGACATCACAGCACTCGGGACACCCCCAAAAGCTCTCTGTCCCCATCTTCAGCAGCAAGCGAAGAATTGCAATTCCAATGGTATCGGTAACCGTCTGATTGTATATCCGTCTAGCCTTTCCCCTAAGTGTCGAGCGTCGGCCAGATTCCCTTGTAACTTCTCGCAGTGTCATTCTTCTAAGACCGTAATGATCTACCTGCGCCTTGGCACTGTTCACTCGCTCCCAAAGGGCCCTCACAACATCCATATTGTCATACATTCGTTTAATACCAAATGCTGCAGAACCACTTTAATAATAACATCAGATAAGAACTGACTATTTTATAGGAACAAGAAAAGACGGAGGAGATAACTGGTTAACTAACAGTTAAGTATAGAGTTGAACTGTATAGAGTTGATTATTTTATGGAAGACAGGAGTGCTAAACATTTCACCGAACTGTATGAACGAGGACGATCATTGTGGAGCGAGTCTTTTGCAGAACCTCGCTTCCATCGCAGTCCGCCTGTAGAAGCTGTCTCCCGCCAGCTTTCTTTCTTAGGGCACTTTCCTAACCAAAGTAAAGATCCATTTTCACACTTTAGGCGCATCGGACATATTTGAAGAGAATCCCATATTTTTACAGACCAATCACCACTAGGTGGATAATGTGGTCAGCATTAAGCCGGCCGTCTTTACTTCCCCAGGACAGCCATCTTGGTACCCATTTTAGACTGGGTCGAACAGTGACGCCCCATACCACGATCAAAATCCACGCAGCCAGCAGTTGGTTTCGATCGCGGTACGTTGGAATTACGAGTCGGACTCGCAAAACCGATTCCACGGACACCACATACTTTCCTAACCAAGATGTCACTAATATCATGTGCAAATCTTCTTGCTGGTGGGCCCCTGCCCCTATTTTTGATACCATCCCTTGTGCTATGTTTCACTACAATCTGTCTTGGCTCTTGATATGGCCATAATATTTCAGTTTCCGAGGCAAAATGCTGTTTGCTAGCGATTCTTTCTTGGTGTTCATATTTTTTGAAAAAAAAAAAAAAACCACAAACTACTTATTGCTCAAAAGATGGCAGATTTTGTTAACTGTGTTTATATAATGAATAAATAAATATAATACTTCCTCTATGCTCTAAGGAAAACGACAACCGACAAAGAAAGGAAAAAATGAAATTCTCCCGCGGCACACCTGTAAAACTGTTCACGCTTGTATAAACTGCACCGCCTAGAGGGCAGGCACACATGAGTGAACCTCAGCGGAGGCACACAGGTTCAGGTGAATCTGCTAATGTCTTTTAAAGATGTTGGTTAAATCCAGCTTAACTTCTACAAGAGCAGCTTCGCATTATACCTATCACCAGCTTTGCCCGTATATTCACACATAACACAGCCGAGGGGAGTTACAGGAGGGGAAAAAACAAACTTACGATGTCAGCCGCACATACAATAGATTAGCTGAAGCCAATTGCTTGAATCAGTTCCCCCATCTTTACAAGATATGTTCTGCTCAATGCAGTTTTTTTGTTGCTCCTTGATGATATATCCACACTCAGAAAAGATGCAGCGCTTTGCTAAGTTATCGTTGGATTCGTTCCGCTTTTGCGACTAAAACTCGGTTAAAGTTTTTACTGTACACCCATATTTTTTTTTTAAACGTTTAAACCTTGAAAAATAATTCTCTCAACCGACGTACAATGTGACGAAATATTTTGTTCCTAATTTTGTTTCCCTCTTCCCTCACCAGTGATGTTGTTATTTTATTTCCCCATTGTTTGTTTTCCTTTTTACACATGTTGCGATATTTTGATTATTTGTTGTATTTTGTGTGTGTGTGGGGCAATGTTTAGACATCGCATAGCTGTGTCGGTCTTACTAATTGGTGTAGTGTTTAAAAAAAAAAACACATACAAAAAGTACGAGCTACCTAGGTTTACCTTGCAAACAGTAGCGGTAGATAGATGTACATGTTTGTTATTGTTGCTAGTGCAGGAGAGTCATCTCATTAACTTGTATGTCCCTAATAGTTGAGTCTACAGACTTTAGACATTACAGTGACTTATGTGTCCCTTACTGTTGAGACTACAGATTATAGACATTACAGTGACTTATGTGTCCCTTACTGTTGAGACTACAGATTCTAGACATTACAGTGACTTGTGTGTCCCTTACTATTGAGGCTACCGATTCTAGACATTACAGTGACTTGTGTGTCCCTTACTATTGAGACTACCGATTCTAGATATTACAGTGACTTGTGTGTCCCTTACTGTTGAGACTACAAATTCTAGACATTACAGTGACTTGTGTGTCCCTTACTGTTGAGACTACAGATTCTAGACATTACAGTGACTTGTGTGTCCCTTACTATTGAGACTACAGATTCTAGACATTACAGTGACTTGTGTGTCCCTTACTGTTGAGACTACAGATTATAGACATTACAGTGACTTGTGTGTCCCTTACTGTTGAGACTACAGATTATAGACATTACATTGCCCGTTAGTGTTAAGAATACAGATTTCAGACATCACATCGACAACTCTGTTTTATTGTCGGCGAGAATGCTTAACCTAAACCAATGGTTATCAATTATGTAAGACACGCTGGGGTATCGGTTCGCCCGCTAGCTCTCCCGCCTAGAGAACTTTCCTACCCATGTTGTCTCTTGTTTCCTTCCTGCTGGTCGGTTTCTGGCTCTCTTATGCAACACAGTGTCCTGCACTGCTGACGTCACAGAGTTGGGCTAACGATGCGTTAACGCAGCGGTTCTGAAACTAGGTGCCGAGGCATCTCGGGGTGCTGTGAGTGTTTGCCGCGAAATAATCAAGAAAATTAATCTAAAAAATTGTGAAATTATTAAAGAAGGCAAGTAGATACTTAAAAGTTGATATTTAAGTTGTCTTCCCTCATCACTGTCGAAAATAGTTTATTTCTTATTTGAGAATCGAAGCGTTAACGATGCGTTAGCCCGATCCGGTGACGTCAACAGCATGGCCCGTCAGCTGTATTAA